AAAGATGGTGTGTGCATTATGATTGGCTAACATCAGTTTCTTAGTGCCAGGGGCCCCTGGCATGGACCTGCTCCTTTTAATATCTGTTTTCTTAAGTCACTGAAAAAGCTTTCTTGACCTAAAATGTGACTCATAGAAATAACGATTTCAGTGTGCGGGCTGGGACACAGTCCCAGCAAGATATAAGCCTTCTGACCAGATCTCTGAGGGGTAATTTAATTATGTAACAGTACTATTCCGATCTATTCCATGTCGCTTTGATACGAAATATCAAAAATAAATTTCATTTGTTTACAGAGAGAAGTTGGGACGCTGCTGCTTGACGGGAGAGACGATTGGTACCAAGATAGAAGCAAGATGGATGCCGAGGATCAGCAAATTTCCACTACATCAGAGACAGGTGTAACACCTGCCCCTTCTCCACGGTTCAAGTACCCACAACCCTAAACATATTTTTTAGCGCAAAACAATGTTGAAACATTCTTGATCATAATGCCGGAACCATTTTTGCTTTTGGTTGCAACTGCGACTTTTTATGAATTTTTTAAGTCGTGAAAAATCGCTAAGAAGAACCGATCAAAAGGATCTGTGTCTAAAACGTTTCCTGACGCCCATTCAAGGACATCATTTACTCGCTTTAAGTTGTTTTAACATCTCTCTGAGCTAGAAAATGCATACAAAGTACGAAAGCCGATCAAGTTCTCACAGTGCACACTAAGCAACTCAGCGACGAGATTTGGCAAAATTTAATGACCAGGTTCGATCGATCGGCTCTTGCAGTGAAGAATGAGTAACGAATTACTACAAGAGCAATTTTTATGTGACTATTCTTATGTAACAATTCTTATTTGCTTGTGAAGACAAAGATTATTGGCCAACTTTATTTCTCNAAGTACGAAAGCCGATCAAGTTCTCACAGTGCACACTAAGCAACTCAGCGACGAGATTTGGCAAAATTTAATGACCAGGTTCGATCGATCGGCTACTGCAGTGAATGAGTAACAATGAATTACTACAAGAGAAATTTTTGTGTGACTATTCTTATGTAACAATTCTTCTTTACTTGTGAAGACAAAGATTATTGGCAAACTTTATTTCTAGGAAAACAGCAATGCTTTTAAGAAGCGGGCCACGAATGTCTGCAGGGGTCCAAAATTTTTCAATCCGGATCCCGCTGCTACTTTTGGCTTAATCCTACAGTCCTGCCGCAGTCAGAATGTTTATCTCGATCCCGCCTGGTTATAATCAACGCTACAGTTCTCCATGTAACGGTCTTAACCTACGATTTTCTGTTTTTCATTTCGCATCCTACCGTCAATTTTTCAATCCGGATTCCGCTGCTACAATCCTGCCGCAGTCAGAATGTTTATCTCGATCCCACCTGGTTAACGCTGCAGTTCTCCATGTAACGTTCTTAACCTGTGATTTTCTGTTTTTCATTTCGCATCCTACCGTCAATTTTAAAACTATCCCACATCCCGTCGGTCAAAATCATACTTAGCCTAGCTCAAGTATTGCCAAAAAAATCTTTTTCTTTGGCTTTTATATGCAAAGTGACAAGGAAAGCAACTCTTTGCGAAACCGGTGTGGCTTTGCAATGGACGTTCTCCATCGGTGAAGACCTTATTTGACAAAGTATC